TCTCTAATGAGCCTTGCAACCACAGGCTCCTGCAGCTGTACAGCATTCAAGGCCTGCTCCTGCTCTCTGCAGCTCTGCACTCAATCACTGCTGCAGCAGGTTCAACACAGCTCCTCTGGTACTTGCAAGACAAGTAAAACCAGAGGATTTTTCCCTCATGCTGAGTTTACAACAGGGTTTCTCCACAAACAGCAGCAATGACCCAGCTGTACTGTTGAACAAACAAGCATTACCACATGGTTGCAGACACAAAGTGTGGCTTGGGGGGGTAACCCCATATAAATAGTTTGGGAGGTCACTATACTTTCCCCACTGTACAAAAGATCATGGAGCTTATACAACAGAAATTATGCATACAACATGCCCAACACCAAGAATGCCTTGTAGAGCAGGATTTTAAAACATCTATTTACAACTTATATATTCAAAGCTTTTTTCACTGCAAATACTATATCCTTCACTTGAGGTATGCTGTTATCCTCTAAGATTTTTGCATAAGGCATGGGGACATCAGCACCGGTGACACGCACAGCTGGAGCATCCAGGTAGTTAAAGGCAGGCCCTGAAACAGAAGACAGTGTCAGGTTGCCAAGTACTATGCTTTATCTTGATTTAATTTCTGAATCTTACTCTATTGAAACAATTTTGTTCCTGTAGCTCTAATAGTCCAGAAATGAAGTGTTCTGCCTTTTTTTTGTTCATGCACTCTGGGGTTTGGTTACCCACCCAATGAAAATCTCTAGAGTAAGACAGCTCCACTCCTCTGATGTAACCTCTAACTCTGCTTTTGCCTGGCTTCATCAAGAATAATCAGGATTTAGAATAGGGAATGAGATCAGTGTGTTGTGAAACTCAGTACCTTCCATGATCCTGGCACAGATTTCAGCTCCTACTCCAAACTGGGGCCAACCTCCTTCTACAGTGACCAGATGGTTTGTCTTGACCACGCTGGCTTCCACCGTCTCTATGTCCATCGGTCGAATGGTTCGCAGGTTTATGACCTGGGGAAAGGCAGTGTGAGCCTGGCTGTGCCCTGAGCCTGTGAGCTGTGCCCAGAGCCTGTGAGCTGAGCCTGTGAGCTGTGCCCTGAGTGTGTGAGCTGTGCCCTGAGCCTGTGCCCTGAGCCTGTGAGCTGTGCCCTGAGCCTGTGAGCTGAGCCTGTGAGCTGTGCCCTGAGCCTGTGAGCTGAGCCTGTGAGCTGTGCCCAGAGGCTGTGAGCTGTGCCCTGAGCCTGTGAGCTGTGCCCAGAGCCTGTGAGCTGAGCCTGTGAGCTGAGCCCTGAGCCTGTGAGCTGTGCCCTGAGTGTGTGAGCTGTGCCCTGAGCCTGTGCCCTGAGCCTGTGAGCTGAGCCCTGAGCCTGTGAGCTGAGCCTGTGAACTGTGCCCTGAGCCTGTGAACTGTGCCCTGAGCCTGTAAGCTGAGCCTGTGAGCTGTGCCCTGAGCCTGTGAGCTGTGCCCTGAGCCTGTGAGCTGTGCCCTGAGCCTGTGAACTGTGCCCTGAGCCTGTGAGCTGTGCCCTGAGCCTGTGAGCTGTGCCCTGAGCCTGTGAGCTGTGCCCTGAGCCTGTGAGCTGTGCCCTGAGCCTGTGACCTATGAGCTGTGCCCTGAGCCTGTGACCTGTGAGCTGTGCCCTGAGCCTGTCAGCCAACACTGTCTGGGTACAGGGCCCCTCAGCACTTCAGCTGTTCTGACTCCAAAGACAAGACTTAATAAATAATTTCTAACTCAGAAACATGAAAGGCACGTGCTGTTAGGGCACTTGCAAGTATTAAGACCCTTGTAGTTAATACATGAAGTTTTGCAGAACTTGAACAAGTAGATGCTACTTTCCCTCCCCCCCCTCCACTTCAGGGAAAGAGAAAAGTAACCCAAACCTCGCTCACCTCACACTCTACACCTTCTTTAGAAAGTACAGCAGCTGCTTCCAAACAATGGCCAACAGGTCTTGAGTGTGCCACTAATGTAACATGAGTTCCTACAACAGAAACAAGAGTTAGGAAAAACTTCTGGAGATCTGAAGCTTTTTTCTAGACCTCAGGTTCCTTTCAAGGTAGCATTAGGATTCACTTGCAAATTTTAGGTTCTTAGATTTATTTGAAATACTGAGCCCAGACACAGTATGAAGAGATGAAGGACCATGTTAAGACACAAATTTTGCCCTTGAATTCAGGGAACTGAAGAGGTATTTCAGATTATCCTATTCAAATATTCATATAATTCAGAGGTAAATTATGAAAAAGTGGGCAGAAACACTACAATGATCTCTTTTTGCATTTTTCACCAAAATCACATACTTAGGTGAGGTAAAAACTGTTTAACTGTTTCAGCCATCACCTACCCAATCTGTACTACAGAACAAATCCTTTATGGAATCCTTTGGAAGGGTATAGTTTAAGCTGAGATATGGACAATCAGGTAGTATTTCCTTGTAAGGGCAACAGAACATGAAACCACACTACTGGATAAAAGAACATTTGAATACTTAACATTTGAAATACTTCTCTGTACCCTGAATAGACGAGAGGTTAAGAAAAGACTCCAAGCATGTCAATTAATAAGGAAACAAATGCATTCTCAGCTTACCTTGCTTTTCTATTTTAGCTTTCCCAATGGGAATAACAAATTCCTTTGACTGTGCCTGTTCAGACATTTCAAAGGGAACACCATAGAGTAATTCACTTTCCAGCACCACAACTAGAAGGAAATATACTTGGATTAGTGTGTACAGCTGCAGGCACAGGCCTGCACTGACCATTAACAGTCCTGCAGCTCAAGACAGCAAACCCACCCAGGCAACAAGGGAGTGAGGACTGTTTGCAGAAAGAATTAAAAAAAAAAAGAAGTAAATCTAAGTTTTTACTTCAATAATGAATTATTTAAAAAACTTCTACAACTACTCTGAAATGAGGTGAGTCATTTTACTTTTGGTACATGACAGTACAATCACTAGTTTTAGAAAGGTCTCATATTTTTAATTACTGTTTGTGAAAAAATAAAGTCAAAGGTTGCCCTGCTCTTGAATAAGGACATTCTGAATTTATAATTTGAATTTCATGACCTGTAAATTTGAGTTACATAGGCACTATAAATGCAGGAATGTAATGTAATATAATAATTCTCCTAACTCATCTTCACCCTTTTTAACCCCTTTATGATACATTTGTAAATACTCCCAGGTTTCCTCGTTGATACCAAACTAGAACTAAAACTGTGCACCTGGCAGCAGCATAAAATCAGTCTACTGTCAGCATGGCAGGGGACTGTTATGTGGCAGCTAATAAGGAAAAATCAGGTATTGTTTCCCATCACATAGTGAAAAGGTTCAGGATTATTTCAGCTCTTGTACAGAAGGCTTTCTGCATGCTCAGAGTGCTCTCCAAACCAGACACAGCCAACATCTCTTAACCCAGCCCTGGGCTGTCACAGCCTCTCCTCAGAGAGAAAGAGAAAAGCACGAATCCCTCTGTGTCTTTTCACATACCCTAAAACTGCAGTAAGCCAACCTTGAGTGCTTCAGGGTTTAACCAATCTTTGTTTTGTGGGTAAAACCAGACACTCCTTAGGATCGACTGCCAGGCATTGCTATGACCTGCTCGTGCCCACCTGGATTGTCATCCCGGATGGATGCTTTCAGCAGCCCTTTGGCATCCTCGGAGCTCCAGGGGCTGACGACTTTGAGGCCGGGGCAGTGGCCGTACCAGGCAGCGAAGCACTGCGAGTGCTGGGCGGCCACGCCCGCCGAGGCGCCGTTGGGGCCGCGGAACACGATGGGCACCGGGATGGAGCCGGCAGACATGTAACAGGTCTTGGCAGCAGAGTTGATCACCTGATCGATCGCTTGCATCGAGAAGTTGAATGTCATGAATTCACACACTGGTCTCAACCCTGCCTATTAAATGTATTGAAATGTGGGTTTTTCACATAAAAACATGAAATATGTTTTTTGACATACAAACGATTTAATTTTAAATACTGGAAGTAGAGGAATGCAAATGTACAAACCATAGCAGCACCGACAGCGATTCCTGTAAAGCCCATCTGAAAAAGAGGAAAACCAAGGGATAAGGACCAGGGAGCAGCTGATGGAAGGATCACCAGCGTAGGAGAGAGGGCAGCCTCACCTCGGATATCGGGGTGTCGATCACCCTTTTGTCCCCGTACTTCTTCCAGAGACCCCTGGAGATCTGCAGGGTAGGAGAAAGGAGTCAGGGCCCGCCTGAAGCCCCTTCCCGGGCCGCCAGCGTCCCCCACATACCTTGTAGGCGCCATCGTACTGTGCCACCTCCTCGCCCAGCAGGAAGACGCGCTCGTCCCGCTCCAGCTCCTCATCCAGCGCCTGGTTCAGCGCGTCCCGCACGGTCACCTGCGAGACAGCGGCGGGCGGGCTGAGCGGGGACCCGCAGCCCACATGCCGGAGTCACCTCAGCCCAGCGGCCAAGTCACCTCACCGCCCGCCCGCCCCGGGGCTGGACCCTTCCCTGAGGGGGCAGCCCTCCCCGCTACCTGTATGGCGGCGGGCGCGGACAGGCGGAGGCCCCTGCGCTGCTGGAGCCGCTGGAGCGGGGCCCGGGCGCCGCTGCCGTGCGGGGCGAGGCGGGCGCCCAGCGCCAGGTGCCGCAGGGTCGCCGCAGCCGCCGCCATCTTGCCCGTGTCCTCTCGCCCTGGGCCGCCTGGCCCCGCCTCTCCGCGGCTCTCGCGAGAGGTTCCGCGGCGCGCGGGCGGCGGCGAGGAGCGCGCGGCCTTCTTGCGCCACTTCCGGCACCGGGGCCGTGCGGGGACCCCCGCGGGGCCGCGCGTGGCGCGCGCCCGAACGCCCCGCCCGCGGCCCCGGCCGGGCCCGCGCAGCCCCGCGGGGACGCGCCCGCGGGGACGGGCCGGAACCGCCGGGCGGCCCCTGGGCGGCGGGAACGCGCGTCCCGGCCGCGCCCGTCCGCCCCGCCCCGTCACCGACCGCCGGGGCGGGGCCCGCCGGGACACTCCCCCGCGCCGTCCCCGCCCGCGCCGGCGGCTCCGCTCCGGGCTCGGGCACGGTCCCCGCCGCTGCTCCCGCCGGGCTCCGCCTCAGCGCCGAGAGCTGCGCCCGTGAGTGCCGGGGCGGGCGGGGGGCGCGGGGCCGGGCCCGGGGCTGCCCCGGCTCGGGGGGCGGTGCGGGGCGGGGGCCGCGACCGCGGAGGGCAGCGCGTCACGGCGGGAGCGGGGAGCGGGGCAGGTGCCGGGGTCCCGGGGCCGTGCCCGGCCGGGCAATAGGAGCGGAGGCCCCGCGTTCGCGTGGGGATGGGAGCGGTGTTACGGGTCCCGTTCGCGGTCGGGCGCGGGGGATGCCCGGTGGGAGCGGCGGTGCCGGCGGAGAGCCCGGGCAGGGAGGCGGCGGGACCCGGGCGCTTGCTCTGGACCGGGAGGGGAGCGGGTCCTGCTTCCCCAGCGGGAGAGGAGGCAGAGCTGGGACTCTGTTCTGGGGTGGGGGTCAGGCCGTGGGCTCGCGGGTCACTTGCGGGGAGAGAGGCAGAAGGGGTTAATTCCCAGCATCTTTGCTGAATCACGGTGATCCGGGGGAGAGTTCTTTTATCACCGTCTCGTTGGCTCTTCTGGGATGGAAACGGGCACTTCCCGGCTCCTGCTGAATCCCTGGACCCCACTCTGCACTTTCAGGGGGGATTTCTGTCCCTTGTTGCTATCACTCCTTGGTCTGTATGTGTGCTAAACCCCATCTGTGTGCAGGGATGCTCCGTGTTTCTGACACCTGCCCGCCGCCAAAACTGTTCAGAGACATGTTTCCTCAATGGAAAAGCACTGGTTAATATCGCATAAGGAAAGTACATGGATAAACCCCAATTATTATCACAGGTCCTGGAAGCCTGAGTGCCCTGGGTTGCTTCAGCAGGACCAGGCTGGGTATTAGAGTCCTCCTTTGAGTCTCTTATAGGAGGACCAAAGTCGTACTGGGATGTGGGCTCTTCCAACAAGAAGCAATTGAAATACAGGTTTGGAATCAGGGCTTAAAACAGGATGTCATAGAGGTCCTTGGGGAAGGGATGGAAACTTTAGGAGCTTGGAATTTATAGTGAAGCAATTAAACATAAAGGAGTGAAAATGTAGAGTGGCTAGCGTGAGCGTTTTTCCATCCTGCCTGAGGTAAAGACTGAGTATTAGTATAAAACAACCCAAGAAAAGCAAAAGCTAAGTTAACTTCTAATAAACTGCATTAGTCATGATAAACTTGACATGTGTAGAAGGCAGTAGGTGCTTTCTTTGGTGAAGCTGATCTGCTGAATTGCCAGAAGATTTGATAACTGGTTGTTTTGAGAACGCTCCTCCTCCTCACTCCCCTGGTTAGGGTGGCATAGAGCTGGAACTCAGGGTTTGCTCTGCAGACCATCAGCTCACTGTAGTTTGGTGCAGAACAGTCAGCACTGGTGCTGCTCAGTGTTTGTCAGTTCAGGTGAGTCACCAGTAATTTACAGGAAGAACTTGCCTTTCAAATTTTCTGACTGGCTGGGGAAGAGAGAGTCTGTCCCGGTACAGCATAACTGTGCTGGTGGATGGAGTTCCTTCTCATCTTGAGATCTAAGTGTGAGAGGTAGGGAGCTCACAAAGGGGGTGAGTAGCTGAAATGCCAAGTGTATGTCAGAGTCTTACCTTGCTCTTTTTCATTTTTTAAGTTGCCATTGCTTAGAATTCCTTCCATCTCTCTATTGACATAGGAATCAAAAGTAACTTTTGATGCTCTTGAGGTTGAACAGCCTGTGCTGTAATATTCATACCAAACTGCCCATGAAAGATTATTGCCACAAGTAAATCCCTTAATTCTTTTGTTTGAAAAACTAGGTGAGGAACATTCAGAGCAAATCAGGTAGTCTGTGCCTCTTGACTTACAACAGCTTGGTGTATTTCTGCTCCTCCTTGGAGTAACTGCATGTTGCACCATTGCACGGCTCTCTCCAGGAGTGGTGGTAGCCTGTAGTGCCAGCAGTGTGGATGCCTGGCAGGGCTGCTGGCATGCCTGCCCTGGCCTGAGTGTGTCTCTGTCTGTGTGTGTGTGTTTTCACAGGTGCAGACGTTCATCTGACTCTTAAATGCTTTCTTTGAATTTCAGTTTGCAAACTGGTTTGCAGCTGTTTTCTGGGAGAAGCCCTGCTGGAGTTAGTGGCACTACCTGTTGCAGCAGTGTTGCTGATAAACAATCCTGTAATCCTCTGAGTCATAACAAATGAAATAAGAGCGAGCATTTTATAAATGCAGGTATCCAGTTTGGTGTGTCGAGTATAAAGTGATGACCTGAGTGCTTTTCTTGCTTCTCACTGTGCCATTCCAGTTCTGGCTGTGCTGGGCTGTGGCAGGAGCCCCAGTGACCATGTCACTGCTGTGTGTCCCCTCCCTGCAGGCAGAGCAGTGTCACCACAGCAGGACTGTGGTTTGACACCGTCCCTGCACTTCTGCTCCCACCAGAGAGGGACATCCTGTTTGGCTGAACTGTGTCAGCAATTTGTCTGACTGAATTTCACTTTAAATATTCTTTTGTGGTTATCAAATGTAGGCTGCCTTGGGATATGACTGTGTGTCATCTGTAATTTGCTGTCTGGACAGGAGTAGCTGTGTTGGCAAGCTTGTCCCTGCGTGCAGTCCATTGGTGTGTGACACAAGGACAGAGCTGGCTTGAGGCTGCCTGTGCTGGGGGATGGATGGAGTGTCTGCCCACCCCCTGGTGATCACTGGGTCCCATTCAGGAGGATTTAAAGCATCACTGAAAGGGCACATGTCATGGAGGGTGTCCATCCCTAGCCTTGCTGTGGTGTGGTTGGTGAGTCCTTAGCTCAGGTTGTACCCAAACTAAGCTACTTTCACCTGTGAAGTTGTCTGGAAATTCAGAGCTCCCAGGCTGATGAGGGAAGTAGTGAAGAGCTGGGATCACACTCAGGCTTTTTAGGATGGGCTCCTGGTATCTCCTTTTGTGTGGCACATCTCGCTCCAGCACTGGTTTGCCAGGGAGGTCTGTGTGTGCCTTGTGGTTCTGGGTCCCTACACAAGGGTCACAGAGATTTCTCCATGCCCCTTCTATGTTGAAGGCTAGGTTTGTTCCAGATAATTGCTCTTGTAAATTTTTCACTCTGGTGTTACACAGCAGTGCTGTGATCAAAGATTAAATCATGCCTTTGCACCAGCTTGCAGTGTCATCTCTTTCTTTCCCTGGTGAAATGGGAAAGATTCATCTGTACTGGACTTAGATGCTAACCAAAATAACATCATATTCCCTAGTTAAAATAACACTGATGGACATCTCTGCCTTTGAAATATTCTGGATGTGTAATTTGAGTTAATTTTATTAAGACTGCAGATCTCTTCTGTCATGATTACTGGTGAGGTTTCTGGCTGGCTGCATCATTTCACTTTCAAGTGAGTATCAGAAACCTGTACCAGTCTCACATGGTTTTAATGCATCTGCATGTTATCCTCATCTTGTACTTGACCAGAATAACACCTTCAATTGCTAGAATTTAAAAGGTCTGGTCTTTTGCTTAAAGTTTACAAACTGTACTTGAGTGACAATTCAAAAAAAAACCCCCCAAAAACCAAAACGAAACCAAACAAAAAAAACGCCCCCAAACAAACAAACAAACAAAAAATACTCACAAAAACCCCCAAAAAACCAAAACAAAATTAAACAAAAAACCAAACAGCAAAACTCTGAAAGAATTGACTTCTTGATTTGTGAGCAGTTTAAAAAAATAATTACAGAGGTTGGCAAAAGAGCTGGTGTTCCAGGTTTATCTGCTGCTGGGGGATGTGCTTTAATGTCCTCTCTTGAGGCATACTCTGTCTCTAATTTGTAAAAATAGGATCCTGGTATGACTTGTTCTGTATCTTAGTATTCCTTAGTCTTCTGTTGTCTGACCTCACTATTTTCATATACTGATTTTGTTTTTTTACTCTTTAATCCACCTGAGAGGCAGCTGGGGCTCTGCTTGTGCTGCTGGGTCCCAAGGACCTGACCTGCTGGACACTGTTTTGCCCAGGCTGTGGATTTGGGCAGGGCAGCAGGGCACAGAGAGGTGGGATGTGCTGCTTTGTTCTGTGGTGAATGAAACTCACCTCATTTCCTAGGAATGAGAAGGGCAAGGTATCTTTTTTGGTTGGGAATTAACTGTGAACATTGAGTAGTTTTGCAGTATGGGGCTCTGGCTTGGCTAAATCTTTGTGCTGCCTTTAGCTGGGTGGCTGCATGTTGAAGTTTGTTAGTAAAGAGGATGGGACCAGAAGTCTTGGGAACTGTGTGGTCTTTTTAAGATGTAAAAATAAACAAAGCTGAGAAGCTCTACCCTACTTAAAACGGGCTGACCTAAATTTTCAGCAGTTCTAGCAGAGAGGCAGGCTCTGGGCAGGGATAAAGGCTTACTGATGACTGGCTTCCCTGTCCTTCCATGGCTTGACAAGGTTGACAGGCCACCTTTGGCACATCAACACTGGACTCTGAGGTCATTCACTTCCCCCTTCTTGAGCTGCACAGCCTGGCTGTGCATTTGCCTTGTGCTCCTGTGGACAGTCTCCTTGTTATGCAAGTCAACAGCTCAGCATCTTCTGGGAAGTCACAGCATGAATCTCTTCTCAAATTGCTTTTGTTGGAGCGTGTTGACAGCATGTTAGATGTCCTCTGGCTTGTCCCTACAGAGATTGCTTTTGAGAGTAGGTGTCTGGGAAGTCCTTTCATACTCTTTGTCTGTAGATTAATGTTCTTGCTATCAGTTGCAGTTCTCCACTACTGAATTATTAATTCTGCAGTGAGGGTTTTTTTATTCTTAGTGTTCATTGACTTTCATGCTTGATTTATTTTTCTGAGCAGTTTGAAACTGGAGCATGGGAATGTTGACTAATATTAACAGATCACGTGTGTGACCTCAGAGGTGGCTAAATAAACTTTTTTAATTGGGAAAATGGCATCTGTCTTTCAAAGTACTCACAGTTTCCCAGGTGAAAGGTTGCTTGTGAACATGTATTGCCCTCAGAGGCACATTGCTTGTTATTCAAGAAAACTGGGATGTTCAGGCAACTGGTGGAGTGGTTACGTGTGCTCCAGAGGCAGTGCTGTGGGTAATGTGATGGGAGAAGGAGGGTTTGCAGATTCTCCTGCTAATGTGACTTTGTAGCTGAATGCTTTCTTGGCAGAGAGCCTGCCTTTGATTGGAAAGCATTCCCCTTGGTGTTCTTGTAGGTACTGATGGTCTGCCATGTTTTGTTCTGTGTTTGTGTGTGCTTTTTCCTGCAGGGAGATAAGAGGAGAGGAATTGTGTATCCTTTCAGCAGCCTTCTGTTAAACTTGGAATACCACAGCTCAAGCACGTGAACAGATGGATAATGGAGACTGGGGATATATGGTGAGTGCAAGTGTGCACTGTGCACCACAGCTGGGCTTCCAGGGTCCTGCAGCAAGAATCCTTCCAGATCTGCCTTCTGTAGATCCAGAGCTTCAGTCATGAGAGAAGGGAAACTATGCCTGTTAAAACAGCCTTACAACAGCTGACACACCTTCCCTGGAGTGCTGAGCACCTCCTGTGCACTTTGTGGGGAGTGCCCAGGTTCACATTTGCTGGGGACAATCAGCCAGGACTGAACTGATGCCTTGACCTCACTGTTACCATTTTCCTAACACAAAAGCTGAAAATAGTTTATGCTTTTTGCTTATTATTTTAAGGACTTCTGTCATTTTATTTATCAAGAAAAATATTTTTCCTTGTAAACCTTGTCTCAAACTAGACAAGCACATCTTATTTTCCTCCTCTTCTCATTCTCCTGCCATGCATATGTCTCTTTTCTCTGGCTGGCTGCAGTCCTGGTTGTTAGAGTTGATGGCCAGATGGGATTTATGTTCCTTTCTCTCTTGCTTCCTCATGTGCTATCTGGAATCTGATGCAGACTGGTTTGTGCTCTTCTCTCCACTTCTATGCAGCACGCTAATTTGTTAATAAATATTTCTTTTTAGAGTTAAAAGCTGAAAGTTCTTTTTCTCCTTGCCTGTTTTAATGAAGCATCTGAGCCAAAGCGTGGATTATTTTGATTGTGAGCTCTTGGTCCTATGTTTAAACCTGCATTGTCTTCCTCTTTTGAGGGATAAAAAGAGGCTTAACGTTTGTTTGGCTGATTTTTTTCTTTCCTTTTTTTTTTTGGTTTTAGTTTTGTTCTAGAATGAGAGACAGATTGTGAAAGTAAGGAACATTGCTGGGCCTCATTCTGACTAACTTGTTCTTCAGGAAATTTCTCTGTTCTCATTTCCCCATCTGTAGAATAGGAAAAAACTTGCTGCCCGAATGCTAAACTTGATCCTGCGACAGTAGCTCAGTTGTTAAGATTTCTAAAGCATTCTGGAAATGTCCATTCTGCATGCTAAGTATCATCCTGTCTAGTTGCCAGTTGTGCCTTGTTGCTAGGTGGCTTGGATTTGTTCAGGTTTGAGCAGCCCTTAGAGGCACTGAACAGGAGAAGTGTGATTCCCCCAGTTTTCCAGCAGTATTTGCCGTGTGTATCAGCAAGGTGATCAACTCTTCTTGTTGGGGCTTGATAAACTCTGCAATTTCTCTCTTTCTAGATGACTGATCCAGTCACGCTAAATGTGGGTGGACACATGTATACGACCTCCCTCACAACTCTAACGAGATATCCTGACTCAATGCTCGGGGCCATGTTCAGGGGAGACTTCCCCACTGCCAGGGACTCTCAGGGCAATTACTTTATTGACAGAGATGGACCACTTTTCCGTTATGTTCTTAACTTTTTAAGGACCTCAGAGCTCACTTTGCCACTGGACTTCAAGGAGTTTGACCTGCTCCGGAAGGAAGCAGACTTCTATCAGATTGAGCCCTTGATTCAGTGTCTCAATGACCCCAAGCCGCTGTATCCTGTGGATACCTTTGAGGAGGTGGTGGAGCTGTCCAGCACCCGCAAGCTTTCCAAGTACTCCAACCCGGTGGCTGTGATCATCACGCAGCTCACCATCACCACCAAGGTCCATGCACTGCTGGAGGGCATTTCAAACCACTTCACCAAGTGGAACAAGCACATGATGGACACCAGGGACTGCCAGGTGTCCTTCACCTTTGGGCCGTGTGATTACCACCAGGAAGTGTCGCTGCGAGTGCATCTCATGGAGTACATCACCAAGCAAGGCTTCACCATCAGGAACACCAGGGTCCACCACATGAGCGAGCGTGCCAATGAAAACACAGTGGAGCATAACTGGACTTTCTGCAGACTGGCACGGAAAACAGATGACTGATTCTGACTCCACAGGAGCCACTTCAGTGATTAGCAACTTCATTGGACAGTGAACCCAAGAGAGTCTGGATTTTGACTAAAGCAACAATATGGGCTTTTTTTATACGACTATTTATTGTTTATCACTGAGGACTGGAGGAGTTTCATTCTCTAGCAGCTCTGTTCTTTTGTCCAGTTCAGAAAAAAAAACCGTGCATGTGCCTGTTCAGTCAAGACACCTTTTTGTTTGAAAGAGGGAGTCCGAAGAATCAGTACAATAGGGTATTTTGTGTCATTAACACAATTCTCTGACTCGACTCAAAGTGCTAAAATTACCTCTTGTTTAAATGGTTTCTAATCCATCTAATGCTATGACACTGGGAGCAAGAAACAAAAAAGATTTTAAAATGCAGTTGGGAAGAAGCTGCTATTGTGTAGACTAATTTAGGTTCTAAATCAATAAACAGTATTGTAATATTCTAGGAAAACAAATCCCACCCTTTAAAAGTACTTGATAAGTACAGTTTCTTACAGTTATGACAACTGTTTCTTTCTATGCATATAAATCAAGCAACCAAATATTATCTGTAGCCATGGAAATATGATTACAAATATTTATATTGGATTCTAAATGCAAAATGTCCCTGTGGTAGAATTCATATTTTTAATGCCTGGTGCAATATTATTCCCAAGTGTAATGCCTGCCAGAACAAGCTAATAAAAATGTGAAATACAGAATACTGTTTTGTATTTTCTTTTTGTCTTTTAGAATTCTCATACTTAAAAACCCAAACCCAACCAAACAAAAAACCTCCCACCCAAATCCTGGTTTTTTGTGTTGCGGAGTATTTGGGGTGTTCTGGTAGGGCCCTGGATTCTTCCTTTAATGATGTAATTTGTTCCTTTTTATGTTAATCAGTTGATAAAAATGTCTTCATTATAGACAAAGCTTGTGTTCTGAAAACTGCTTTAGATTGATAGAAAGATGGCAAATATTTGTACTGACTAAAGGGGTAGGGATGGAGGGAACACAGGGCCTAAATACTTGTAGCTGCCAATAGAGTTGCCTGGTTTGTCAGCACTTTATGTAGTGACTTTATAGATATAATTCTTACTGCAAAATGCTTTTTCTAGTGATGTTCAAGTCAAGGCACTCAAATGCTGTGGCTTTACTCAATTTCAATACAGACATTTTCTACTTATCCTGGTCCCTTTGTCATAGTTATTAATAGAATTTCTGGTTATGATCTAACTTGATTGCAGCTGGGAGTAAGGGAGTTTGTATCTGTTTCATGGAGTAGAGGATCCTGTTCTCCCATGAAGTTCTTGTCCCAAGTAGGTGGGAGCTTTCCATCCCATATCTGGTTCTGAAGGCTGTCTTGGGGGTATTTCTCTGTCATATTTTGTCTCTTCCTGTTCATACATTGTAGGTTTTTGACTTATGTAATAAGAGGCAGCAGTGAGAGCTTTATTCTTGCTCAGGAGGGAAGAAAAGCAGAACTGATGAAGCTCAGGAGAAGTTGTTTCTTTCTTGCAACACGTGGTAAGAAATATTTGTGTTAACTGGCATTGAATTATAATCACAAGATGTTCTTTGCAACACTTAATTTATGAGCAAATTAATGACTGGCCTGGATCAGCTTGCCCTTTCCATAATTATGAAGTATAATAATTAGAGAAGCAGTATTCCAAATAATACACTTTATTGGAGCTCAAGATTTATAGAAATGAGCAGCTCTATTAATGGGAAGGTAAATTCTGCAGACTGGAGCTGGCATCAGCTTTGTCTGCATCTTCATTAGGCAGGAATATTCCAGTACTGAGCAAATCAAGAGCTATTTTAATTGTCAAAACAGATGCATTTTCTAATATAGTTTCTGATCAAAGAGAACAACTTGTTCCTAAAAACAAACAATCATGATTTCACCATGGATTTTTCAGTAAAGTTGGTTGGTTTGGGTTTTCTGAAGGCACTATATAGATACAACACACTGAGAGAGGGTTCACAGTGTGGTGTTGCTTTTGTTTTTTCCTCAGTCATCACATAGTGAATTTAGAAAGAGAATAAGAAAGTCAAATGAGAATTTTGATGCTGTCAAGACACTTCAGGATAGAAAACAGTGAACCCTGGACCATTCCTGACTAGATTGTCTCACAGCAGCAGGTACCACTCAGCGCTGTCGGCATCTGTCTAATTGCAAATGGCTGGCTGAGAATCTTTCATACTTGTTGTAACTGCAAGTAAGCAACTGATTATTAATTCTGATTAGTCATTACTGATGCTTCATAAATGTACTGCTGCACAAAGAACAGGAGGAAATGTGTCCCCTTCACTTTGAACATGTTCTTCATAATTTCGATAGCGTGTTGTGCAGAAGTGGCTTCAAATACCTCTCGTAGGCTGGGCTCATCTGTTCAGGAAGAGAATGTGGAAGGAAATTAATGGCAATTAAGAAGGAAAAGGCTTGTTTTTTTTTCTTAAGAACAATCTCTGAAATACATAAAGCTCCACTACTTAAAAAACAACCAACAAACCAGCAGCTGCTTCAACCATGTCCAAGATTTTTTTCCCTATAATATGTGCTGTCCTTCATAACCAGCACACCACACTCCTCCCAAAGGGGACAGCATACTATTTAACCTCAGAAAATATGCTTGGACTTGAATGTTTGCTGAAGGCAAATTTTGTGTTCAACTGTTTCAAAGGGATTTCAAAGGGATACCCATTACCACAGTAAAAATCTCACTCAAGGCCAAATGAGTTTTCAAACACAGCAATACATATTTACATCACACAAAATTTTTACATTGCTCTACAGTATGGATGAATTGAGAAAGGAAAGTGCTAAAGACCATGAAGAATCAAATTGCCTTATTTAACACTCATACTCTTTCTGGTTAAACATATTTAAAACCCCAAGTTTTGCACTAGTAGAAAGCATTAGTGTATAGAAAATACCCTGCATTTACTGCTGTTCCATCATATGTAAACAGACTTTTATTTTAGCTTATTCTGTACAATGTGATACAAAGAGGAATTAAAAGCTCTTGTCTCTTATCTGTATTGCTTTTGTTAGAAGAGAAGCAGTTTCTGCCCTGGCTGCTGTGGAGGTTGCCCAGCTGTAGTTGATCCCTACCTGGTTGGTGGGTGATTTCTGAGCCCACTCGTAGAGGCGCTGGTAAACCTGCCCGTCGTAGCTGCCCAGAGCAGAGTTCAGGCTCTGGTCTGTGAAGTCAAAAGCATCCACCAATGGCACAGCATCCTTCCTACAGAGCACAGGAGTGACATTCCTGTTACTGACAGGCTGCTGCTTTGCAAGATGGGAAAATAAATCAAAGATAAACTTGGCAGTTTCCAGGTGTCTCGTGGAAAGCTTGTGCCAGTTTTCCTCCTTGTCTTTACCAGGGGGGTGGAAATCCTGTTTGTTGGGATTCCTCAGAGACATCTCTAGGTGACCCTGCCTTGGCAGGGAGATTGGACTACATGATCTCCAGAGGTCCCTTTCAACCCTAATAATTTTGTGATTCTGTGATGTTCTACTAATGCCCTGAGTTGTCTGCACTGCTGAATGGGTATTTGCAGGGTTTTCACCCTGGCTCCATTCCTAATTCAGGACTCACGTAAAGATTTTTTCTCAGTAGTCTCTACCAGTTCTTTTGATTTTTGTCTTTCTTTCATTTTTCTTATGCTGTATGTGTGTCTTATAAAATGGAGTAAGGTTCCTACTAGATTGATGTGAAGTTGCTTTGCTGATCTTCAACCTTCATCCACCTTTCAGTATTTCCACTATCTCATCATGAGGTGCTGAGCTCTTCTATTCATATCTGTAACAGCAAAACAACCCTGACCCATCCAAGGGCCCATCTACTTCCAGGGGCCAGTGTGACAGCATGGAGAGCCAGAGCACAGGCAGCATCTCCTAAGCAGGCAATGGTTTCTTTTTCCTCATCCTTCCATCATCCTGGGTGTAGAAAGTTGTGCTGGCTGTACCTCACACTTGAGGTACTGGGATGCAAAGTGGTTTACTGAAATGTCACCATTTCTATCTTCCAGTTCCTGAGGGTTTGGGAAAGGCTGGGTTTTTGCTACAGACCAGAGAGTGGTTATATCCTTTCTACTAACTGTAAATATGTAAATACTCCATTCTTGAATCCTGTTAACAAGGCATGGACTAACACAGAAATTGCAATGAATTCCAAGGACAACATGTTAGGCTTCTGAAAATGGTATGATAAACTTACCAATTAATTCAGATTCTGTTATCAGTTCTGAAAACCCTTGCTGTTTGGCTCAGCCCTGTTCAGCCCTTGCTTATAGTGTGTTCTTGTTTCCCTCCAGGTGGTTTAGGTAGAATTTTAGATACAGTAGCAACTCCTCTGCACCATAAGTTACTATGTTCTAAACAAACAGCTGAACCCTTTGTCAAAAAGCCTCTGTGAGTGTTGTGGTAAGTGAAAACCTTAACTCAGAATTCACAGAGTTGGTAATAAATGGAGTAGAGCAGATGCATCTGAAGTAGCTGTAGGCAGGATTGTTTGGGTACCAGTTGCAGCTCAGCCATGGCAACAGAGGAGGCTGTATTAGCTGTGGCTTGAGCAGATTTTGCAATGTGTGATGGGTTGCTGTGGCTGCCTCCTGCCAGTGTGCTCTGACTACATATTTTCCTGCTTTCACTCCACTGCAGATGGTAGAAAGTGTTCATGACTTCTTCATTTATAATTTAAGACTTTATGTTACAGAACTTTAGAGATTGCAGAGGACACTGGGGTCTGTTTTGCCACGAAAACAAGCTCTGAGTAGATGTTTCAATCAATTTCTAGTACTGCCAGGCACTGGAAATAAACACTGAATGAGATGAATTGACTGTGGAGATGTTGCCATAGGTACAGCAGCACCCTTTTATATCTAGCCCAGGGATAAACTGGAGAGCTGTGTGTGTCCTGCCAAAGCAGCTCACCGAATGACAGCCAGGAGGTCCAGGTAGGCTGCTGTGACCATGTCCATTTGAGCTCCAGATGTGTATCCATCATGCAGGAAGGCCCCTGTGTTTGAGAAGATCCCATGTAGTGCAAAGAGGTCACAGAGATGTTTCATAATCTTCTGGATGCCAGCCTTGGTCTCGAGTTTTTCCACAGTTTCTGCAAAGTTTTTCACTGCAATGTAGTGGCAGTGAGCCTGGAAAACAAATGCAATCAACAGTGAATGCACCTCAAACACTTTAGTAGGCCAAATGACTCAAATGTTCTTGCAAAGAATATAAAACCTTTTCATTTCCCTGGCACTTCTCCAGTCTGTATCCTTTGTTTGCTGGGTGACCAGGCCTTTCACATTCATGGCTTACAGCGACAGCAGAAGACAGAATGTGTAAACAGTCAACACCATGGTATTTGTAAACTCCAGAAAACTGCTTCAGAAATCATGATGATATTTATTCTAAATAGTTCTGATCAATATCCCAAAGAGTTTATGTGAAGGAAACACATTGGAATGTGCTTGTGTTGTAAGTGAATGTTGGTTGTACATTAACAGGAGAAAACTTCTGTTGAAAGCCTTGGGCTCATGGTACTTTGGGATCAGTGTCTACAAGGCTTCCGCTCTGGAAACACCATTGTCACAGAAGAACAACCAAATTTACCTCCCACTTTTGTGTAATTTTGGGGTCACACACCAGTAGAATGTCTGACCCACAATAGAATATTAGCAGAGGTGGAGAGATGCATTAATTAGGCTGACTCTG